CACACACTTTCTCTCTCTCTCTCGCACTCTCTGTCACACACACACACGCTCTCTCTCAGTCTCTCTCTCCTCCCTCACTCCCTGGCAGACACACACACAAATCTATGGGGTGAATTTGTATTTGCAGATGCATCCTATTTTGTTCAAAAAGCACACAATTTAGTGACAGTCAGTGTGGCATTGTATAACTTCCAACTTTAGAAATAAAACCAGGCTGACTCCAAACCAAAACACAAACGGATTCTAAACAAAGTGTTACACCTAACATGCATTGTCTGACCTAAAATGTCACCTCTTCTTTACACTGATCAAACCTTTAGTTCTTCAGGGCAGTGTCTTGAAAGAAATTCAGGGATTTACATATGCACTATCACTACACGTACCAAATGCCGCCTTCACCATCCTTTGTGCCTAACTCCACTTTTAAGGAACTATGCACCTGCACCCCTGGATCCCTTTGTATGGCAACACTCCCCAGGATCCATTAACTGTAAATCCTCCCCTGATTTGTCTTACTGAAATGCAACACCTCACATTTATCTAAATTAAACTCCATCTGCCATCCTTGACCCATTGACTCATCTGATCAAAGGTCCTGTTGTACTCCAAGATAACCTTTTTCACTTTCCACTACACCTTCAATTTTGGTGTCATCTACAAACTTACTAACCATACCTCCTATGCTCATGTCCAAATCATTTATCAAAGTGATCATATAGCTTCTTACTAATTATTTTGTGTTTTACGAAGTGGGCAGCTATAATGCCTTTAACCATTGATTCTAACAACTTCCCTATGACAATCATTAAAGTAGTTAGCCAATAAAAACAGTTTCCTGTTTTCTGCCGCCTTGTAATCCTGAATAGAGGGCTATATTTGCTACTTTTCAGTCTGATGGAACCTTTCCTGAATCAATAGAATTTTGGAAAATCAACACTAACGCATTTGCTAGCTCATTAGCTCCCCCACCTCTGCTAAGACCCTAGAATTAAGTCCATTCTGACCCGTAAGCCCACATCTTCATCCATTTGTATGGTATTGTTTCCTTAGTGTTTGTAGTTTCCCTAAATTCCCATTGCCCTTCCACCTTCTGATTTACAGCTATTGTGGGAATTTTTTTTTATCCTGTGTAGTGAAGATACAAGTAGAATTGTGTTAATTCCATCTGCCATTTCTTTATTATCTATATTAATTCCCATTCTCGCTCTCTACAGAACCCAACCTTCACTTTACTAAAGAAGGATCACTTGACTCATAATATTTACTGTGCTTTCTTTCTGCAGGTGCTACCAGATCTACTGTGTTACTCCAGCACCTTCAGTTTTTGGTTCGCTTCCTTTCTTTCATTTTTAACAACAATAGAAACACATGCTATCTGTTTTTACATTCCTAGCTTCCTTTCATGCTGTAATTTCTTCCTCCTGATTAACCTTTTAATCATTCTCTGCAATTCTTTAAATTCTGACTAATGATTAGACCTGTCAGTCATCTTTCTACAGGTATTTGCTTTTACTTAAGTTTGATGCTTTTCCTAATTTCTTTAGTTAACCATGGATGCTGAGTCTTCACTTTAGAATTTTCCTTTCATAGACTTATAGACATTTGCAACACAGGAAGCCGTACAGCCATGATATTTGCGCCAGTCAACAAATATCTAGCTATAGTTATCCCATTTTCCAGCTTTTGGCCCTGCAAGCTATCAAAATGCTGCTTAATGTTACAAAAGTTTCAGACTCAACCATCCTTTCAGACAGTGAGTTCCAGACTCTCACCGTCCTCTTAGAAAAAACAGAATTCTCCTCAACTCTTAACCTTCTACATCTTACCATGAATCTGTGCTCTCTGGTTATTGATCCCTCTACTAATGGAAAAAATGGGCAACATGGTAGTTCAATGATTAGTGCTGCTGCCTCACAGCACCGGAGACACAGGTTTGAATCTAGCCTTGGTTGACTGTTTGTGTGGAGTTTACACATTCTCCCATGTCTGCGTGGGTTTCCTCTTGGCACTCTGGTTTCCTCCCACAGTCCAAAGATGTGCAGTTTAGGATGATTGGCCTTGCCAAATTGCCCTGTAGTGTCCAGGGAGGTTATGTGGATTAGCCATGGTTAATGTGGGGTTATGGGGTTAGGGTGTGGGGAACTGGGACTAGGTGGGATGCTGTTCGGAGGGTCAGTGCAGACTTAATGGGCTGAAGAGCCACTTTCCACAATTTAGAATCTGATTCTATGAAATGCCTTCTTATTGACATAAAAGCAAAATATTGCACATGCTAGAAATATGAAACACACAAAATGCTGGAGAAACTAATCAAATCCAGAAGGAATTTGAGAAACAGAGTTAACGTTTCAAGTCAGATTAGACATTTGTTCAGAACTGTTTCAAATTAATTGTACTTGAAATGTTAACTCTGTTTCTCTCTCCACAGGTGCTACCAGAGCTTTTGAGTTTCTCTAGCATTTTTTGCATGTGCCTTCCTATGCACTCTTTACACCCTCAATCTTATACATCTCTATCAGGTCACTTCTCAACCTTCGCTTCTCTTACAGAAAATACCCCAGAAGATCCATCTAAAATCTCAGATCCTATGACCCAGGTAGTAAGAATCTACTTATTTCCAACTATTCTTAAACATTCCCTCAAGTATCCACCACTGAATCTCTATCAGTCTATCCACTAACTTAGTATGCCTGTTAATTTCAGCCGCCTCAGCTTTCATGCTCACACAGTTGTCCTTAGTTTAAAATTCTAGTGTTTGGTCCAATCTTCTACCTTGCAAACTGGATCTAAAATTGAATCTTGCTGACATTCGCTGCTACGTAGGCGTTCCTTTAACCTGAGTTCGTTCATTAATCCTGTCACATTATACAATACCAAATGTAATATAAACTGCTCTTTGGTCGCTTCCAGAATGTGATGCTGTAAGAAACTAGACTCCTAGAGTCATAGAGATATACAGCATGGAAACAGTCCCTTCGGTTCAACTCATCCATGCTGACCAGATATCCAAAATAAATCCAGTCCCATTTCCCAGCATTTGGCCCATATCCCTCTAAACCCTTCTAATTCATATACCCATTGAGATGCCTTTTAACTGTTGTAATTGTACCAGCCTCCACCATTTTGTCTGACAGCTCATTCCACACACGCATGACCTCCCAACTCCTGTATTCAATGCACTGACCAACTAACTCAAATGCATTCTATGAACTTTATGCGCAGGCTTCTGCTGCCAATCTGATTTTTCCAGTTTGAATGATTAAAGTCACTCTATTTATTGCCATACCTTTATCAGAAGCACCCTTATTTCTTCTTGTATACTTTGGTCTACATTGTGTTTACTGTTTGAGAATTCATGGACCATTCTGACTTGTAACTTTTTCCCATACTATTCCTCATCTGCACCCAAATTGATTTTATATACTGATGCCCTGAATATTCGGAGCAATCGTTGTCATGCTGCAGCCATATGTTCATAATGGCTGTCAGGTCATATTTATCTTCCTCAATGTGCACTATCAGTTTATTTACTTCTTTATGCAATCTGCACACATTCATATGTAGAGCCTTTAGTTATTTTTTTGTCTTGTCATTTTTGGAATACCTAGTCTTCTTTGTTGGTGTTTTGTTGGATTTTTTTTCTCTCTGTCCCTTCCTACCATTTCTTTGTTGTCATTTCCCATATTATTACTTTCTTCCCACTTGCCTCTACCCTTTGATATACCATATCTTTCAACCTTTGATCCCTTGGCTCCACTATTTAGTTTAAACCTTCCCTTTGAGCACAGCTTTCCTAAGGTATTGTACAGCTGACCATATCATTATAGTTTTTAACTTCTAAGTCATTTCCTTACTTTTTACTATGGGCATTGAGATTATATGCCATAAAGAGCAGCATAGTATCATCAGGCTTAGGAGTAGGTCGGTTTAGCCCTTTGAGTATGCTTTGCCATTCAGTGAGATCATGACTGATCTGGTTGTGGTCTCAATTTCACTTTCCAGTAGACTCCCTTGTCTGTTAAAGATCTATGTATCTCAGTGTTATGAAATTTATATTACTAAATGCAATGACACAGTCTTCTCTGGTTTCTGGGACAGAGAATTCCACTAACTAATAATATTCTGAGAGAAAAGAGTTATCCTCATCTCCATCTTAAAAAGCTAGGCCTCTTAATTTTAAATTGTGACTGCCAGTTTTAGTATCTTCTACAAGAGGAAACATCCTCTCAGAATCCACATTATTGTTCCCTTAGAATCTCATTCTTCTCAACTTCAATGTGAAAGGCCAACCTATTCAACTTTCTTCATAAGGTCACAACCTAAACAAGTGAAACATGAATTGAACTGCTTCTAATTCATCTTTATCGGTTCTCAATTAGGAGACCATAATACAACACACTACCCCAGATGTAGTCTTAATAAGGTCCTATCTGCAGTAAAAGTTCCCAATTCTTGTATTCTATTTTCCTTGCAATAAGGACCAACATTCCACTTAACTCCCTAATCACTTGCTAAACCTGTAAACGAACCTTTTGTGATATAGGAATCGAGCCAATTTGTTCACTGTCTAACTCCAAGTTCTGAAGTTTCTCTGCATTTAAGTAGTAAACATTCTTCCTGTCAAAGTGGGCAAGCTCACATTTTCCCATGTTATGCTCCATCTGCCAAGTTTTTGTTCATTTGGTTTATCTGTCTCTAACTTTCATCTCTATGTCCTCTTGACAACTTGTCTAAATATTGAAAAATCAGTAATTTTAGCTCTTGCACGTACACATCCACAAACCATCCATTAATTAAGAAGAAACTTCTATAATTCCTACATACGTTTCACTGACCATTTCTTGATATCTGACAGAAAGTCATAGAGAGACAGAGGTGTTCTAATGTCTAATGTCACCAGATGACATTTGAGAATTATGTAAATAAAATGAATTGGTTTGTCCCTTACATAATTGCTTTTTATGCAGGGCTGTGAAGCTGATCCTGAGCAGTTCGCCAGCAGAATAGAATGTGAAAGTCCGAACAATGATCTAAACAAGTTTAAAGGGTATATGTAAGTGCTCTGCATTTCCCAACTAACCAAGTAAGATTTGAAAATGAAGACAATCAGCGTTGTATCAAAATCGGATACTGCAAAATTTTGATGTCTTGCTTGACTGAACTTCAAATCTAACTACTTTTACCTGTAAATTATTACCATTTACCCTCTCTATCCACTTTCAGTGCACTGAATTTGCCATTCATGCCTATGTCACTTTGAGACTCAATTTTACAAATGTTAATTGCGTCCTGTATAAGTATCAATTCATGTGACAGTGTTGCAATCAATATTTTGTACATTACTAATTTGTTCACTGATAGCATTCTCTTTCCACATCTTTATTGGTTTCCTATTTCATACTGTTCCGACTTTAAAATCTTTATGCTTGTCAATAATGTTTCTTCATTGCCTTGCTGCTTCATTGCCCTCCCTGTCCGCAGAATCTTTGTTGTACACGTTAGGGTCTGCCACTGGTGATGAAGGCTGGCGCTATGAAATTCTCTGCCTTGCTAGAACTCTCTGACCTTTCAAAAGCCAACTTAAAATCCGTTTTCACCATTTCACTGCCATTGCTCCTACTTTGTCTTGCGCCCACAAACTCTCCCCACTATTGTGAAGCCTCTTGGAATGTTTGCTATCTAATGGCTTCGTAAAATACAAGTATGTGTTCTGACTTCATAACTGTTCTTATTTTTCCTCCAATGCCACAACATTTACCCTTAATAAATTGTTTAGAAAATGTTTCAGTCATTGAAAATGTTTATGAGCAATACATTCGTTGAGGAAGATCAAGATGTCCAACTTCAAAAAGTTGATTTTAGGTTCAGAATTTACTCTAGATTAACGTGACACAGCTATTCATTTCCAAAGGCAATTCATTTCTAAAATATTCTAAATTTCTAAGAAGTGTTACTATGGAGGCAAACAAATAGTAATTTAATCAGTATCATCACACGAGACAGTCTTGTTTAATGGTACAAGTTTGTAAATATGCTTTCTCAAACTGTTTCTCTGAAATGTATCTTTATGAATATTTGAAAGAAATATAAATTGGCCTGTTGTTTTTCCCTTACTAACTGTTATCATTTCTGAAAATTTGCAGGATACATCAAAATAAAGAGCGTGTTGGTCTTAATAAGAACAATCTTTTGCTTCGAGGTTGTACCATTAGGAATACTGAGGCTGTTGTTGGAATTGTAGTTTATGCAGGTTAGTGTTAGAACTTGATAGAAAATAACACGGTAAATCTATAGCTTTGTGACAAATTTTCTTGAAAACAAGTATTTCACTTTGAGGTACTGTACACAGGACTTCAAAAACTATAGGCTGCGGTCTCCAGTGAGGTTACCAGCCAACATTTTGGGGTCACTCGCTCGGAGGCTGCAGTTGTGCTAATGCTGCATGGTTAAATCTCAAAGTTTTTGTTTTGATGGTGGTCATGGCCTAACTGGCCTCATTAAGGTATAAACCCTGTCCTGATAATATCTGGTGGAGAGGTAGTTTTTTTTTACTTAAAAGTTCTGTGAGTGAAACAGCTTCCATTTCTCCTCTGTCACTCACAGGAGTCTGACCAATGTATATCACCACCACTGGTAACATAGGTCTCTCCTCCCCTCCCCTAACATAGTTCCTCACCACATACCCCAGATTCCCACAAGAATGTCTCTGGCCCTGCACCCACCTCACACTCCTGTCACAGAACTTTTCAAACACCAAAAAGGAAAAGAGTTTGGTAAGTACTGCCGTAAGGTAAACATAACTATTTCATAAATGACATTGCTAATGGGGGAGAAATTTAAGATGGTGGCTTAAATAACTCCACAGAGGCCGGTATCCTGTCACCAAGTCACCCTTTATTTACTTGCATAGTACTTGACACTGGTCCAGATTCCTCAGAGTGAGCAGAACCTCTGAACTCCTGTTTATATCTGTCAGCCAAGGCTCCCTAATTGGGGCTGTTAATCAATCAGGGAACTCATATTCTATGAAGTCCTTGTTACAATCAGCACAGTAGCCATGTGGACACAGTGTGAGCCAGTGATATGTTTAGTGAGATCACTGTTAACATCTACTGTCCAAGTCAGTTTGGTTGAAGAATTTGATGGGGTTTTTTGTGAACATTTTTATTTTAATTTTTATTTTTAGTAATGTTTCAGGTGTGAGAAATTGCATTGGAAGCACTTTCAACAGCTTCATCTTCTTGGTTCCTTTTAGAAATTCAAACTAACTAATGCTTAATTTCAATTCTTACTGCCATGCATTTGTCTTTTATTTTGAAAAGTGTGCTTTGTCACTTCCGATTCACTCAGCTGGGAGGACTTAATCATTCTGATCAATTTTAAGACAATAAAATAATATCTATCAACACATATTGATCTTGCGTTATTGAATTAATGATACTATTGCACTTCAAGAAGGCTCTTTTGGTGCAGTGGTAGCTCAGGTCCCACCTGCCCAGACTCTGGTAGTGTATCTATTTTTGGGCTATCTTAAGTCCCACCTGCCAGAAGTGTGTGTTGTAACATGTCTGAATAGGTTAAATAAAAATATCTACAAGATTCAGATACATTTGTTGTTTTAGGAGAAACAGTGGTGTGTAGTAATGTCACTAGGCCAGTAATACAGAGGCCCCGGGCCAATGCTCTAGGGACACGAGTTCAGGTCATCACTGCAGCTGGTGAAATTTAAATTCAGTTCGGAGGAGCTAATGTGGCACAGTGGTAGTGTCCCTGTTTCTGAGCCTTATGTTGTTCCACCTGTTCCATAGGTGTGTCATAACACATATGAACAAGTTGATTGAAAGTATCATTACATGCTGTGTTTGATGTTAGTTTTAGTGATGGCAAGCAATTTCTCTTTATCTACAGTATTCTTATTTATGTCAGAAATTATAACCATAGTGTGAAAGGTTTTATGAGCTCGTGACAATGTAAATATATAGCTGCTAGAGATAGTAGGAACTGCAGATGCTGGAAAATCTGAGATAACAAGGTGTAGAGCTGGATGAACACAGCAGGCCAAGCAGCATCATAGGAGCAGGAAGGCTGATGTTTCGGGCCTAGACCAATGAAGGGTCTAGGCCCGAAACGTCAGCCTTCCTGCTCCTATGATGCTGCTTGGCCTGCTGTGTTCATCCAGCTCTACACCTATATAGCTGCTAGTACTGCTTTGGAAACCAAATAATCTAGTTGGTTCAAGGAACCCAGTTTCTCATTATTATTCCTGTTTTATATTGTTTAATTCTGTTAGTTAAAGAGAATGCTCAGATCCAGTTTAATTTAACAGTAATATTGGATTTGCAGGTGATCATTCGTTATTTATTTCTAAACCAGGACACGAAACCAAAGCGATGATGAATAACAGTGGCCCTCGCTACAAGCGCAGCAAACTTGAAAGAAAGCTTAATACAGACGTTCTTTGGTGTGTGGTCCTACTATTCATGATGTGTCTAACTGGAGCATTTGGTAAGTGGCTAAAGTGTGGAAGAAAGATGTCTGGTTTGACAATACTGAGTTAAATATGTCTGCCTTTGGGGTTGTTGCTTGCCGAGCTGGCTTGTTCTTGTTCAGACGTTTCGCCACCATGCTAGGTGACATCATCAGTGGAGCCTCCGATGAAGTGATGTTATTCTACTCTGCTTGGAATTTATACTGACTGGTCCATTATGGTGAGTACTGTCATTTCTGGTTTTGATCTGTATGGGTTTGTATATGGGGTCCAATTCTATATGTTTGTTGATTGAAGTATGGGTGGAGAACCATGCCTCTAGGAATTCCAGTGCGTGTCTATGTTTGGCTTGGACTACTATGGTTACTTTGTCCCAGATAAATCAATGGCCTTCATTGTCTGAATGTACCGATAATAAGGAGAGTTTGTCATGCCATTTTGCTGCTAGCTGATGTTCATGTATTCTGATAGCTAGTTTCCTTCCTGTCTGTCTGATGTAACGTTTGTGGCAGTCATTGTATGGTATTTTGTAAATCACGTTCATTCTGCATGTTGTAGGAATGAGAGGTTCAATCCCTGTAAGTGTTTGTCATAGAGTGGCTGTGGGCTTGTGGGCCACAATGATTCCTAGTGGTCTTAGGGGTCTTGTTGATAGTTCCGATATGTTCTTGATGTAGGGCAGTGTGGCTTGTGTGTTAGATCGTTCTGTGTCCTCCTGTTGTTGTTTGTTTTATAGGCATCTGTGGATGAAGTTGCAGGGATATCCATTTAAAGCAAGGATCTTGTATAAGTGTTCTTCCTCTTTCCTGTGTGGTTCTGGAGTGTTGAAGTGTGTCCTGGCCTGTTCAAATAGTGTCCTAATGCAGCTTTCTTTGTGTCTGCCTTTGTGAGAAATTGCACAACAATCCTTTATCAATCTGGAAAAAATATCCTTGTTAAAGTGTGAAGTGCTAATTCACTGTAAACTTTTTAATTAGTTTATGGTATAGTTTGAACAATGCGAATTATCCCTTAGACAAATCCATGTTCTTATTAAACTAGAATGCAACTATGGTTATCGTATATCTTAGACTTAAGCTATGAGATTCCCTTTGTACTTGAAAAGAGAGAAAATCCATCATCTTTAAAGTTGATGTGCTATCAGATCACAACGGTCATGGGAGTGAGTTAAAAGTAAATTACGGAATTGTCACAGCATGGGAGGCGATCACTTAGCCCACTGTGTTTGTGCCAGCTCTCAGAATGAGCAACTCATTGAGTAAATATGGGTAGGTAAGGGTGTGGAAGTAGAAGTTAACGGTCTTGGTAATGGTTCTGCTATAGTTTTAAAAGCCAACTCAGGATTAAGCAAGAATGCATCACAAAACCTTTTGTACGAAGTTTGTTTTTTTTGAGTTAACAACTTGAATTTTTAAAAAATATTGTTCAGAGGATGTGAGCATCGCTGGCTAGGCTGGCATTTATTATTCTTCCCTAATTGCTGTGCATCTGAGTAAATTCCTCGATCATTTTCTGAGGACAGTGAAGAGTTAGCCATGTTGTTGTGGGTCTGGAGTCACATGTAAGCCAGACTGGGTAAAGGCAGCAGCCTTCCTTCCCTAGAACACGTTAATGAACTGGTTGGATTTTTATGAAGATAATAGTGGTTACATGATCACCATTAGATTAGCTTTTTATTCCAGATTTTTATTTAATTCAAATTTCACCACCTGCTATGGTGGAATTTTAAATTATATCCCCAGAACATTAGCCATGGGTTCTGGATCACTAGTCCACTGACGTTACCACTCCACCACTGCAGCTAGTTTGCAGGCACATAATCTTAAACTTTGACTTTAGTTGAACACAAAAATCTTTTTCACGTGTGCCGCTTTAATGTTCTTAATTATAATCGTTTGGCAGTACAGATAAAGGAAGATACATTTTGTCGAAGGTTTCTATCTTGTGCTCATCAGGACAATTTGAAAGAACACTTCTTTGTTGGAGACAGAAATAATGCATACATGTACTACACCTGTTTCATCTTAAACAGGTGACAGCCATTCGTTGGTTCATTTCTCAGAGCAGTGCCATGACCCATGAGAGTCAACTGGTTTAAAACTGTTTAAATTTGTCAGAATAGATGTAGTTTCTTTACTGGTTTAATCTATTTTTTGAATCAACCTGCTCAGAGATGTTATTACATACCTCTGGAGCAGGTGGGACTTGAACCTGAGTCTCTCGGTCCAGAGGTAGGTATGTTACCAGTGCACCACAGGAGCCCTTCATTTTACTGGTTCAAATGTGGTACCCTTCTAATTACTTTACCATTGATGTTAATTGCATCAATTCACACATCATTACATTTTATCTACCATGGCAATTGCTACCACATCTCAATGTCTGGTCAGTTAACATACTTGATTTTTTTTTTCAGCTGAACCTTATATAACAATATACATCCTTGTCTCAGAGATAGTAAGAACTGCAGGAAGGGTCCTGACCCGAAACGTCAACTTTCTTGCTCCTCTGATGCTGCCTGGCCTGCTGTGTTCATCCAGCTCTACACTGTGTTATCTCTACATCCTTGTCTTTTTAGCATGGTTCACAACACTTATCTACAGATGCTTGACAATGTTACTTTTCTCATCCTGCGAGTGTCCTTCTTTTGCTGATAGCTAGATATTATCTACAAGCCTGGAATGCAATACCTTTTATGAATGTATTCTAAATAATGTGAATTGCATAAGCCTGTTTACTAATCTTTGAGAAAGTCTTTTCATCATGGTTACTCAATTCAAATTTCTACCAATGGTCTACTTTCCTTGTTTCCTATGGTATCGTTTATGTAATTGATTTACCTTGGATTTTGATAGACTTTTCTGTCCTACTCTGGGATATTCCGGGCCATATCGAGATGCGCAATTCTCACATCTTATTGATCAGAAAATTGCAAAATATGATTCCTTTTTCCTTGTGCAATTTTCAAAAGAAATATTGTGAATAATGCAATTTAATATCATAGACGTCTAACCGTAATTACTTTTATTTTATGATTAGGTCATGGAGTTTGGTTAAGTAGCTATTCGCAGTTCCCTACTTTTAATGTCCCACAGCCAGATGGAGAACATACCCTTCCAGCTTTGGCCGCATTCTACATGTTCTGGACCATGATCATTTTACTACAGGTAAGGGGGCTGCACAAATAATTTATGTTGTTCCAGGTCTAAATCTGACCCTACTGGAAGTTTGAGCACTTCATAAACACAAGAAAAGCCTCATTTGGATGTTCTTCTTTTAAGTTTATAGCATTATGCTCAAACTTGATGCTCATCAAGATGAGTATTGTTAATGGCAAGGAACTGAGGACTTTCTCTTTCAACCCAAAATATATTTGGGTGAAATGGGGGCAAATTTAGAAACGGATTGATGCAGTGCTGAAACGTTGACCAATTTCCTTAGTAATTGTACTGCCATTGATATTGCATTGACTGCAATCACTCAGGGTAGAACTGGTGCAAAACTGGGACTGATTTTCTGAAGAAGGGTCCTGATCCGCAACGTCAGCTTTCCTGCTCCTCTGATGCTGCCCGGCCTGCTGTGTTCCTCCAGCTCCACACTGTGTTATATCTAAACTGAGACTTTCCTGGATCTTGATGGGACACCTACTCAACTGAGTCACTGACTGTGCTGACTCAAATGCACTTTTAACAAGTAATGCTATTAATGTGATTGATGTAGTATTCATGAACCTCCAAAAGATATTTGCAAATTCTAAAACCATCCTGTATGTCCAAGTCTAGGTCATAATAATGCTACGAATGTGATTGATGTTGTATTCATGAACCTCCAAAAGATATTTGATAAAATGAAACATAACAGGTTTGTCATCAAAATTAGAATCCTTGGAATAAAAGAGATGGGGCAGCATGGATATGAAGTTGACCAAGTAATAAGAAGCATAGAGTCATTGAGAGTATTTTTTGGACTGAAGGGAGGTATAGAGTCAGGTTTTATGGCACTGGTGTTGTTTTACTCTATGCATTATAATGACCTAGACTTGGACATACAGGATGGTTTTAGAATTTGCAGGTGACACAAAACTTGGAAATGTTATGAACTGAGGTGTCTATAGTGCGAAACTTCAAGAGTTTGGAATAACAGACTTTTTACAGGTGACATTTTTAATGTAGATGCATGTGAAGTTGATTTATTTTAGTGGAAAACAAAGGAAAACAACATAAAATAAAAAGTGCAAGTCTAAACAGGTGTAAGAGCAGAAGGGCCACACGTATACATGCACAAATCATTGGAGCCGGCAGAGCAGATTGAGAAAATGATTAATATAAAGTCATTTTATTAAAAGGGGTGTAGAGTACATAAGAAACTTTTGTAACCCTATATAAAATATTGATTTGATTTAACTTTTCTAGAATATTACGTCCAGCTCTGGGTGGCATAATTTTGGAAGGATGTGAGAGAATACGAAAAAGATTCATGAAAATACTCCCATAATGAAGAATGGATTGGAAAAATTACAGAATCACAGAATTGTCACAAAACGGAAGGAGGCCATTTGGCCCATTATTCCTTTACCAGTTCTGTTAACTAGTACCAATTCCTGCCTTTTCCCCATATCCCTGCACACCATTTTTATCTAAGTAATTATTAAGTACCGACTTGGAATTCTCAATTGAACCTGCATCCACTACATTTCTAGGCAGTGCATTTCACACTCTGACTACTCACTGTGTGAAGTTTTTTTTCCTCCTTGCTTTGTTTGCACATTAAATCTGTGTGGCAATGTTATTTTTACTTGTACAAGCTGGAACAGCTTCTCCCTATCTACTGTATCCAGCCCATTCATAAATTTGAAAACATCTTTCAAATCTCCTTTCAACTACCTGCTATTCCAAGGAGATCAATCCCAAATCCTTTGATTGGGTTGTATAAGATTATGGGGGACATGGGTAGGGTGAATAGAAAACACCTGTTCCCCTGAGTTGAAGGGTCAATAACAAGGGGCCATAATTTTAAGCTGAAAGTCAGGAGATTTACAGGGATTGAGGAAAAGCTTTTTCACCCAAAGGGTGCAGGGAATTTGAAATGTACCATTTGGAAAGATATTTGAAGTGGGAAATCTCACAACCTTTAAAAAGTACTTGGATGAGCACTTGAAATCCTGTAATATTCAAGGTTATGGACAGAGTGCTGGAAAGTAGAAGTAGTATAGATGTAGAGTAGTTTTTTTTTGTTGGTGTACACTCAATGGGCCAAAGGTCATCTTCTGTACTGTATAATTCTAAACTTCAGTCTGTCCTCTAAACTGAAGTTTCTTATTCCTGAAACCATTCTTCTGCACTCTGTCCAGTGTATTGTGGTACCCACAATTGTACACAATGCTCCAACTGAGATATAACAAGAGTCTTGTACAAGTTGAATTTCACCTCCTTGCTTTGCACTTTATGCCCCTACTGATAAAGATGAGAACACTGTATGCTTTATTAACTGTTCTCTCCAGTTGTCCTACCACCTTCAAAGATCTATACACCCAGGTACATCTGCTCCTGCACCCCCTTTAGAATTGTGCAATTCTACACTGTCCTCCTCAGAGTTTACAATTCTTCCAAGTTTAGTGTCATCTGCAAACTTGGAAATTGTTCCCTGCGCACCAAGATCCAGATCATTGATATATATTAGGAAAAACAGGGGTCCCAATACAGACTTGTGGGGAACTCCAATACATACCTTGCTCCAGCCTGAAAAATATCTATTGGCCAACACTCGGGAGCTATTTACCTTGGAGAAGTTAAAGTTAGAAGGTGATTTGGTGGAGGTGTTCAAAATCACGAGAGGTCTAGACATAGTGCACAGGGAGTAATTGTCCCCATTGACATTGTGCACTTGAAGACTTTGATATATGATGATTGGCAAAAGAAGCAGAGGTGACACAAGGAAATTCTTTTTTACAGAGTGGCTAGGATGTGAACTGCACTATCTGCAAGTGTGGCCGAGGCAGGGTCAATTGGGGCCTTCAGAAGAAAATTAGCTGATAATATGAAACAAATTGCAGGCTATGTAGAAAAGGCAGGGTGTAGAATGAGCTGAATTTAAGAGGCTTTACGGAGAGCCAGTATAAACACAAGGGCCAAGTGGTCTTTGGTGCAATAACTATTCCATGATGTGTTTCTAATTCTGATAAAACTTTTTAAAAGAAAGCAAGTGTTTTATCAGTATATTTTCTGCCACTTTAGAAACAACTGATGTAGAAACCACAGAAATATCTGGTACAAATTGTGTGGTATGGAAAGGAAAGCATACCCCACAGAGACTAGGAAAATCATCAGTGAATTTACTACAATTGCATTAATTGAATAGCCGGGGGAACGGGATTGGTGGGCGGTGGGGAAGGGGGTGGTGGTGGTGGTGGTGGTGGTGGTGGTTGACCAGCTTTTTATTGGAAGACAAAGGTTTTTGAAATATAAGATGCATAATTTTTTATGAGTTATGTTTAGTGTTATGAATTCACAAAGGTCCAAAGTGCAATTTTGCAGTCTGTTTCACATGCTCTGAAAATAGTGAAATGGATAACATCAAATTTGCGAACTAAAACTCATACCATCCTGGCTCTTTATTTTTAAGGTATTGATCCCAATTTCCTTGTATGTGTCCATTGAAATTGTCAAGCTGGGCCAAATACTACTCCTCCAGAGTGACATTGATTTGTATGATGAAAATACAAATTCTACCATTCAGTGTCGGGCATTGAACATCACTGAAGACCTGGGGCAGATTGAATACCTATTTTCAGATAAAACTGGAACACTTACAGAGAACAAAATGGTTTTCTGCAGGTGCAACATTGCTGGGATTGAGTATTTTCATGAAGAAAATGGTATGTTCGTATTTTGTTTATAATCTAGGGGTTTCACTTACAAAATCTGATTATTTTACTGGATTTTGAAGGTACTTAAATATTCACATGGACTATCTCACCGTTTGAGGTTATCCAGTCAGTCATGGATACACTGACTAAGAAGATTTGGTGTATTTTTTCTCAAGTGGCTTAGCTCAACCCACTCAGCCATTTATGTAGAAAACATTTTCATTGGTTTTAAAGCATCCAAAGGTAATCAAAGGTGTTTCACAAATGTAACTTATTTCTTATTACAGAAGAGAACTTAAAAATATGGGGTTTATTTAATAAACTCTTTGCTTTATAATTTTGTACAGTTCTATTTAATGGAATGGGATTTACATAACAAATTTATAGATTTTCTTAAATTATATGGAAATATTAATTTTTCATGCTGACTTCCTTTTAAAATCAGAAACTTGTGTTAAAGTTCGGTTGCTTTATTTTGTTTGTTTTCATATGTACCAGTTAGGACTGTTAACTTGAACGTGGGTTTAGTTATATGCGCAAAAAGAAGCCGTTCCAGTCAATAGTAATGATCATAGAATCCCTACAGTGTGAAAGCAGGCCATTAATCCCATCGAGTCCATATAGACCCTTCAAAGAGCATCCCACTCAGACCCACCCACCTCTGCTCCCATCCTATCCCTGTAACCTTGCTTCTCCCTTGGTTAACCTACCTAGCCTGCACATCCCTTGACACCATGGGCAATTGAGCATGGCCAATACATTTAACCTGCACGTCTTTGTGGGAGTAAACAGAGCACCCAGAGGAAACCCATGCAGACATGGGGAGAATGTGCAAACTCCACACAGTCACCCAAGGGTGGAATTGAATCCGGGTCCCTGGCATTGTGAGGCAGCAGTGCTAACCACTGAGCCCTGTGCTGCTCTAGCAAAGGCAAAGTTACAATGGTCATATAGACAATAGAAGTAACATTAGGAAACCAGTATGTTTTCATTGCTGTGAGACAGGGCGCATAAAAACAATTATTGGAACTGGAATGGTAAACTGATGGCAGTAGTAGGAATCTTTTGGGAAGTTTCAGAAAAAGTTATACTAGAAGGATGCATGTTAAAATAAAGGTAATGGTCCAAGTGAAACTTGTGAGTCAAAAAACACTGAAGCTGGGAATTTGAGTCAGCCTTCTTCCCGAAGAGAAGTCCAGAAGAGCTGAAAAGGAGATTGAAAGTCACTGGCTGGGTATTGAAACACGTTAGCACTTAAAAGAACCCCTGCTTGCTGGTGATTGTTTGCTGCAGCTGAGGGGGGGTGGTGAAGGAAGTCCATAAGCAATATTTACTTGGTGCAGCCAGGAAGTACTCAACCTCCAAGAAATCCAGTACCACAGAGTAAAACTATGCAAAATCTGGAATTGTGCCCATGAATAGAGTGTTCTTTATTCATTCACGGGATGAGGGCATCGCTGACCAGGCAGCATTTATTGCCCATCCCTAATTGTCCAGAGAGCAGGTTAGAGTCAGCCACATTGCTGTGGGTCTAGAGTAACGTGTAGGCCAGATCAGTTAAGGATGGCAGTTTCCGTCCCTAAAGGACATTAGTGAACTAGATGGGTCTTTCCTGACAATCAACAATGGATTCATGGTCATCATTAGATCCTTAATTCCAGATATTTTTACTGAATTCAAATTCCACCAGGATTCGAACCTGGGTGCCCAGAACATTATCTGGGTCTCTGGATTAACAGTCAAGCAATAATACCACTAGGCCATTGCCTCCTGTAGACAGGATTCCAGTGGAAGTCAATCTCAGGGGAAGGGATTAAACAATAATGAACAGTCATTAAGGCAATCCATGCATGACTGTAGGTTTTAAGGGAGAATGAAAGCTAGATCTTTGAAAGTTAAGAAATGACATTGTATGTGAAGGAAGCAAAAATACAATGAGTTATGGTGACTTGTTAGTGTCAGTCTGATGGTTGTTGATGAGAAGTTACTGGAATCTGTCTGAACTACATATTCTATTTGATACGTTTTGAGGGCTGATCGACCATAGTTCGTCTGTCAATTTACATTTGCCTCATCAGTTCTGGGTGTCAGAGTACAAGATGTGTTGATTTAACTTTTACATTGTAATTTTATACAGTGAAGTATAGTTCAAAACCACGGAGTCTTGTGATTTTATTCCCTTACTAACTACGTGAGATCTCAAACTTTCTCTGCTTTAAACATAAAGAAAATTATTGATCCCCAACAAAATCATAATTTAACGGCCTCGTCAGGGATTTAACAGAATGCGTACAGTGTGAAAACAGGCCATTTGGCCCAACAAATCCACACCGACTCTCCAAAGAGCATCCCACCCTGACTCACCCCCCCCACCCTATCCCTGTAACTCTGCATTTCCCATGGCTAAACCTCCTAACCGACACATTTCTGGACAGTATGGGTTTCATAGCAGAAAAGAGTCATTTTGTGCTCATATATACTGAATATGTGTTTAAAAACAATTTTGTGCATCATGCCTTTTGAAATGTTTAAATGGGATATTTGTAAGGAATGTTTGAAATGTACTGAGAGATTTCTGATCTGTGCTTTTTGTCTGAAGAGAACACTAGAATGTTTGAGTCATTGCACTTCAACCCTTTATATTCATCTTGATTTTTGTCTTTCATCTGCCCAATAGCAAAAAGGCTGGAGTTCTATCAGGATTTTAATTCTGAAGATTTTTGTAACATTTCTGTGGAACCTATTTGTAAGTGTCACCATTCGAACAGCTGCAGATCTCTACCAACAGTGGGAAGCCACAGCTCATTGAATTTCTTGACTGCTAAATGCTCAACATTGACTAAGAAAGATGTATATGAGGATAAACATGAAACAATTTCATATTCACGTAAAGTGGCATTCAGCACCTCAATTGTGAGTACATCCACTTTGTGTTGTTCCTTTTAATTATAAAGTCATATAATTAATATCTCCATTTTAGTTTCCTAACTTTGATACAACAGTAGATGGACAGTGAAACCTCTCAGTTAACATTTCTCACTCTTGCTCCATCTTCCTCAGTTTAATACATTTTTCCAAATTTGTAGGCTGCCAAAGCTGCAACAGACATATGATCAGTATGTTTCTTTCAGTACCTTTCATTTTTGGAAAGGCCTTTCCTTCAGAAATAAAGAAACTTAAATGCTTGTGAAAGATAAAGCTATTAGAATTGTACCTTAAAATAAGTTACCATTTCTTTCTCCTTTGTTGTCTGCACACACATTTCCAGTCTGCCTCCCCCAATTTCTGTCTCCTCACACTCTCTATACTGCAGATCTTAACAAATTCTTTGCCTAATAATGTTCTGATTTTCAGGAGAGAGATGTTGCACCAGATTCTCAACTTCTAAGGAAATTAGAACTAATCACGTCTCAACCGCTATATTTATTGGATAAGGCAGAAAATGTGCCTTGCCTGGAATACACTTATATTCTGGACTTCTTCCTTGCCTTAGCCATCTGTAACACTGTTGTGGTGTCATCCCTGAACCAGCCACGACAGCGGGTAAGGTCAACAATTGTCCAAAGTTTGATTTGTTTAATTAAAGTTTTCTTAAAACTCTGAAATATGGATTTAAGTTGTGATATGACTGATGGATGAAACTCTGCTATTTGATTTATATGAGTTCGATGTGAAATTAGTAGGTATAGTTTCAATCTGTTTAGTGAGTATCAGCTCCACGCAAAGCTGCCTCGAATGTAATATTATTTTTTCTTAAACTGAGATCACCTTCAAAATCTCTGGCATTGTTGGTGAAGGAAGTTGCATACTGTCACCAATGCAATGGAGATGAGGTGGTGAGGTTGAGCTTATTTGACAAGGGGAGGCCTGAGACACGAAGAATGAACCTTCATTTTGACACAAGGTCCGAAAATGGAAAATACCTTTCTCGCTGGCGTCCTTCATCTTGGTAAACTATGAAAAATATTATCCAACATGTATTTTTCCTCAGTCAACTTCTAGTCTCCTCCAGCTTATGATTCTTCAAGCAAAGTAGTAGCACCGATGAAGTGTTCACAAGTGTTGTGGTAATCTATTATTAAACTAACTTCCTTCAAGTAAATAAATATTGAATTGATTACACTGCCTTAGCTCAATGTTGGTTGATGTTAAAAAGAAAGTGCATATAGTCTCACTGAAAAATTTTGAAATAATGATTAAATAAGATGGATAAGGGCAGGGACAGAGACAAAGTTAGATGTGAGTTCACATATAGATTTTCAGACTCGAGGTCCTTCTAATGTGAAAAAAAATTAAGGTCTAAGATTGCTCAGATTATGCTATTACAGATGATAAAGGCATTACATTGCGATAATTAAAAACCAAAAGAACTGCGGATGCTGTAAATCTGGATCAAAAACAAAGTTGCTGGCAAAGCTCAGCAGGTCTGGCAGCATCTGTGAAGAAAAAAAAATCAGAGCTAACATTTCGGATCTGGTGACCGTTTCTCGGAATCAGTTGGACAGAACTTCCTTAGTTCTGAGGAAGGGTCACCGGACCCGAAACGTTAACTCTGATTTTTACTCACATTGCGATAATTATTGTTTTAACGGAGCTTGAAAAGGAAAATACAGTAAACCTTAATTAAATGTGTAGGTGGCCCCAAATGTAGTTTTGTACATTGAAGAAGACTATTGTTTTAAAGCTGAGATGTTAACTGAGGTGCAATCTGCTTGTTCTTTTTGTGCTTAAATATCCATTGTTAAGAGTGGTATTCTCCTGGGACCTTGGCCAATTTGCCTTCTTTAATCTATGCCACAAAAAATCAGCTGGCAGTTCAACTTATTGCTATCCATGGGACCCTACCATGCAAAAAGTGATTCTTGGGTTTATCCACATGATAGTAACAATGTAATAGAATCAATTTATTGGGAAATACTTTGGCAAATTACGAGAAGTTAATAAGTTCTTTAAACTGTTTTTCTGTTACTTAATTAGATTTCCATATTTGGAGTTTCTATTAATAGATGGATTGGTGAATGTTTTTGAGATTTCTTGACTTCATGCAGTGGCATAGTTCGGGCTGCTTACAAAATAGGTACAATAAGTGCAATGAATTTCATTTGATCTTAGTTTTCCAATTTTACCTACTCTTGAGGATGTACCCATTAGATTGCTACTGATTTATATTAATGTTTTCATTTTGTATTCCTGCTGTCAAAGGTGGGGCAAAAAGAGGTATGGTAATTTATCTATATGTTAAGTAAACTTTGAAATTGGTCCAATCAGTTCAGTTCATAAAGGAAATGTTTAAATATGTTACATTTTTGAAGAATCACAGACCTTAGGGTGAAGGTACACCCATTATTGGTTGGGAGCGAGTTCCAGGATTTTGACTGGCAACAGTGAAGGAGCAGTAATATACTTCTAAGTCAGGAATATGTGCCAGTTGAAGGCGAACTTGGAGGGAGTGGTGTTTTCATGTGTTGCTGCCCTTGTTCTGCTTGGTTGTAGCAGTTGCTGATTTGGGTAATATTAAATTTCTTACAATGTGCTGCGTGATAACATCAGTCATAACTTCAGCTGGGATCATATTAATTGCTTATGACCCTTCTGATTAGGGAACAACTCTGAAGGAAATTTAAAATATGCACTTGAGACTTCAGATTCATTATATTGAAAGTACAAAAACATAACATTATTAAATGTATAGATTATTTTTCTAAGTTTTCTTTTAAATGCAGCAATTACATTTATGATCAAAAGTAATGATTATCAGTGAACTAATTTTTTCAGAAAAAAGAGACATTCAAGAATGCCAAGTCTCAAAGGGAGCAACAGTTTATTGTGCATTAGAAAAGGGTCCTGATTGGTTGGCAAGTAGACTCCAGCCACTATTGCCATGGAGAAATCACCAAGAAGCCATAGTTCGCACATTAAATTCAAATTAAAACTCAAACTTTTTTGAGGCCAATGGGGAAGTAGCACAAGGAAAAGATTCAGTCTACCCCTCCTTGCTTACAGATTGGCCATTTGAGAGATTGAAAATGTAGTTATGAATATTGGTTGACTTAGAAAGGTTTGGAGGAGGAACAAGTGAGCAGTGAGAACAAGAGATTGAAATTATCAATATTTTAAAGTGGGGATTCAGAACTATTGTTATTGAATAATTTGACAAGGATTATACGCAGATCTTTAAAATGCTCTGTCCTTGATTGAGCCTTCCATTCCAACACAATTTTAGACTAAATAAAAAAATACAAAAGAATTGCAGATGCTGGAAATCAGCCACAAAGCCAAAACAAAATTGTTTTAGCTTTTTGTAACACTATTAAATAATGATGGCATCTTATTTTACAGTTCAAGTGATGACTCATTGAAAACATGATGATTACGCTGACCTACTAATGTGATCTGTACTCTCACGTTGTGATTATGTTAATATTGAATTTTCCCTTCGGCTCTTCCAGACATCTGTATGAGACACAATTTGTGCACCTGCAAGTTCATTCGTGGTGCATCGGTTTGGTTTCCTGGAATAAAGTCCCAAGTAGATCTCATTGAACATAGATTACTGTTTGCACATCACAACACAACACAAGTTGGCTTTAAGTGATAACACAGTGTGGAGCTGGAGGAACTGTGTTATCTCTGACTTCCAGCATCAGCAGTTCTTACTATCTCTGCACAAGCTGGCTTTATCTGTTGATTGGAGCAGAGTTGCATTGTTAGCCAATATTAGTCAATTCAATTCTAGAAAAAGTTGTAAAAACAGAGGGAATTCTCTAGGCAATTGCATATCAGTCATGATTCTTAATTTGTAATGAATTAATTATGTGGAAGAACAAAGTGTTAATGATCCCTTGTCCTCCTTCACTGTATCAAACATTATTTTTAAAAAACACTAATCTTTCGCTTTTGGAATGAAGTAATTTTTTGTATTCATGTGAAGGTGGAAAAGCTTATTTATTTAATTACGATGTATTTTTATGTCAATAAAGGTCAGAATACCTTCAGTCAGCAATTCTCCAAGCAAGTCGCTGGAAGAGATAAAGCAAATGTTTCATAAATTTTCAGTGTCTAGTGCAAGCCCTTCATCTCTTTCAAGTGGAAAATATTCATCTACAGAAAGTCCAAGTACTTTTACTAACAGACTGCTGAATCGAGTGAAGCCGGCTTCCTCACCCAGTGTACTCCAAAAACAAATGGAAAAATCTGTTGGATTAACTAAGGAAGTTAAAGCCACTGGTGGCCCCTCTGAAACTAATGAAAATGTTCAAAATATGTCAAAAGAGCTTGATGAAACTGCAGGCAGTTCACCTGCAGGTCGGGGCACCTCCGCAGAAGAATTGCGTTATGAAGCTGAGAGTCCAGATGAAGCTGCGTTAGTACATGCGGCTCGGGCCTATAAATGCACTTTAATATCTAAGACCTGTAATCAAGTCACTGTGGAACTTAACAAAATAGGACAATTGCATTTTCAACTCTTGCATATCTTACCATTTGACTCAATTCGAAAGAGAATGTCTGTGGTAGTCCGACATCCACTGACTAATAAAGTGGTTGTTTATACAAAAGGTGCTGATTCAGTAATGATGGATCTTTTGGATGTCTCTGCTAAAGGTATGTAGAGTCTTACTGTACTAGCATTTGTTTGTCCTTGAAATGTTTCCAGACTCCTCAACCTGGAGAAACATCCTGCCTGTTAGAATTTTACAGAAGTTTAATCAGATTTGAATTACTTATTGTCACGTGTATTCTATGTAGAAATACAGTGTGAAGTGTGTACCTTCGCTGTACATGCATGGCGCCATTCACATTAACTTAGAATAAGCTAAGAAAAAAAAAGATAACTTGAGAGAGTCCAACTTTCCTTTCCACTGCTGCAGTCCCCTCCGGGCTTTCCAGCCCATGCCATGCCGCTACCTCACAGGCCCGCTCTCGGCCGCCACTGCCTCACCAGCCCACTCTTGATCTGCCACCATCGCTCTGGTCCATGCTCGATCCACCACACGCATTCAGCTCCCACCATGAGGTTCCCAGTCGCGACCCAGCTCCCAATAGTCATTCTTCTAAACTCCAATGAATACAGTTCCAGTTGAACCAAACTCCACATATTACAGTCCTGAAATCACCAATATGGGTCTAGTGAACCTTCACTGCACTCCCTCTATTGCAAGTATATCCTGTCTTAGGTAGGGAGAGCAATATGTTAAAATCGAAAGTAAAAATATTTTTAAAAATATATAGAGGAGTTTCTTCATCATTTCTTGTCTCCTATGCATCATTATCCAAACAAAAAGAATTCAGCAAGTAATCAGACTGAGCTGTGACTGTCTGTATCACATTTTCTACCTCAGTTACAGATGGATGCTTATTAAAGGCATACCGTCTGTTATTACAAATCGGCTGAAAGGAATGAGAAGTGACATTGTGAATTGGGTTAAGTTTTTGATTGGTAAATCTTTAGACAAATAGATAAGAAAGAGTCAAATAAGTATTTGATGAAATATAAAGCAAGTCCACGTGGAAATATGTCTGTGAGGAGGCTATTATTCCATTTGTGTAAAAAGTAAACATAGCCAAGAATTGAGGTAAGATGCGGTATTGAACTAAAAGTAATGGTTTTCACAGATGTCAACCTAAGTGTAAATCCAGTAGAGTGGGAGAGCTATAAAATGCAATAAAGGGATATACCTAAAGTAATGAGAGGTGCAAAAAGGGAATATAAAAGGAATTGGTAAGTGATATATTAAGAAAATGACCATGTTAAAGAGTCCATTAATGACAGGTGCAGATGAGACTTATGGACAATAGGAAATAGCAGTCTCGTCAAATTCTTGCTTTGCATTTGTTTTCACAAGGAAGGAAGCGAATAAAATACCAGCTGTTCAAGGGCAACTAAAAATATGTTAAGGTAAGGAAGTTAGTGGATTTAACATAAATCTGTTTAAAAATCTGGAAATAGAAAATCTAATGAAACTTGAAATGGACATATCTCCAGAATCTGTTTCCAGCCAGAGTATGAAATGACGTAGTTGAAGATGTTACATATGTGTTACTTGCAATTTTCCAAAGCTCATTATGTTCAGGAAATTTACCTTTACATTGCAAAATGTCAATATCACTCTATTAGTTAAAAAAAAAACATGGGAGGGAGGGGAGAAGAAACCAGCAAAGAATGAGCCTGTCAGTTTAACATCACCTGCAAAGCCAGTACTTCTACTCCATCTTCAGTTGTCCTTGAAAAAGTTGTCACTGCCGTCCTCATAGCACTGATTTACCCACAGTGTTGTAAGGGAGACAGTATCAAGATAGTGACTCAGTGATAGTGAAAAAATGCTGATGTAGCTCCAAATCAAGATGGTGCATGACTTTCGAGGTAGTTTGGAAATGTTAGTGTCTCCATGCACCCACTGCCCTTATTCTTCTAGAAGTTTGGATGGTGCTGCCAAAGGAGCCTCGGCAAGTTACTGATTCTTGAAGACGGTACATGCTGCTAACACTGTGCGTTGGTGATCAAGGAAGTATTTAAGGTGGCTGATGGGGTGTCAATCAAAGGGGCTGGATGATAGCTAGAGCTTCTTGAATCTTGTTTGAGCTGAGGGGTGGCTCAGTAATTAGCACTGCTGCCTCACAGCGCCAGGGACTCGGGTTCGATTCCACCCTCGGGCGACTGTCTGTGTGGAGTTTGCACATTCTGCCTGTGTCTGCGTGGGTTTCTTCCGGGTGCTCTGATTTCCTCCCACAGTCCAAAGGTATGCATGCTGGGTGGATTGGCCATGCTAAATTGCCCATAGTGTTCAGGGATGTGTAGCTTAGGTGGGTTATAAGGGGATGGGTCTGGGTGGGATTCTCCAAGGGTCAGTGTGGACTTGTTGGGCCGAAGGGCCTGTTTCCACGCTGTAGGGATTCTATTCAATGATTCTGTCCTGCTTAAGATGGTTTTTGCTTGGTATATTTATGGTGTGAATCTATTTCACAATATCACCTTAAGCCTGAATGTTGTCCAGGTCTTGCTACATGTGGGAAGGAACTGCTTCATTACTTGAGTTGGGAATAGTAATCAGTGTTATGAGTGACTGCTAATTTCATGCAGAGGCAAAGACCCAATTCCTATATAGGGCTCAGGAGAGGAAAGTGTCCTTGATCTGACCTAGTTCTGCTGTAATCCCTTCTATTGTTTTCTGAAAGAGAGAGTGGAATGTCAGTGGCTGCGTATCACTGTTTTTGAATGATGTGCTTGCCATAACTTAATAGCTGGAGGAATGAAAAGTGCAGAAAGGCATGCCAGGAATAGCACCAGGCATACCTAAAAACGAGATGCCAACCTGGTGAAGCTATCAAACAAGATTACTTGCTTGACAAATAACAAAAGCAGCAAATGATGCACAGAACTAAGCAATCTAAGTGCTGCAATCTTCCCACATCTAGTCATGAATGGTGGTGGACAATCAAACAACTCATTAGAGGAGGAGGCTCCACAATATCCCCATTCTCGATGCTGGAGAGCCCAGCATATTACTGCAAAAGTTAAGGCTGAAGCATTTGCAATAATCTTCAGCCAGACTTGCCAAGTGGTTGATTGATCTTGGCCTCCTCCTGAGGTGTCCAGCATCAGCCAGTCTTCAGCCAATTCAGCTTCATTCCACATGATTTCAAGAAACTTTAGAGGTATTGGATACTGCAATGAGTATGGGACCTAACAACATTCCGGCAATAGTACTGAAGGTTTGTGCTCCAGATCTGGAACATGCTGCACTCCTAGCCGTGCTGTTTCAATACAGCTACAACACTGAAATCCACGTGACAATGTGGAAAATTGTCCAGGTATGACCTGTACATTAAAAAGTAGGACAAATCCAATCTGGCCAACTACTGCCCCATGACTCACTCTCAATCATCAGTGCCAATGTCCTAGAAATCTAAAGCCCTCCCTCCTACACCATCTCTCCAGCCACGCATTCATCTGGACTAACTGGCTTTTTCTATACACATTAGCATTTCGCACCAGAAGTAATCCAGAGATTACTACCTTTTAAATCCTGTTTTGCTTTTAATCTACTTCCTAGCTCCCTAAATTTTGAATACTTTGGGAGAGATTACTGCTTTCCCCTGCAGAGTAATCTCCCCAACAGTATCCAAAATGGTACATTTGTTAGAAAGAGGGACGGCCACAGGGGACTCCTGCACTTCCTGCCTTCCTCTGCTGTGCATGGTGGTCCCCCATATTATGGACCAGACCAAACCCCCTCAAAATATGTTAAGACAGCCTAGACCCCAACTTTTTCTTATGTTTAAAGGCAAGTGTAAAGCGGTGTGTTCCAGATATGATCTGATTGGTCAAGTTACCACACTTGAAGAAAAACACACTTTATTCTTACTATCTAGTTAAAATGCAAACAAAAGAAAGAGCTAACGTAACATAATTCTATTGGAAAACTTAACAGAATAATAGATTATTTAACTACTAAGCAGCAACTGTTCCAATACAGTAACATCCCATAATCACATCCCTGGCAAAGGCAAATTCAATAAATATATCTCATGTATAATTCTCCATTCCAAGAAGAAAGTACATCAAGAGAAGACTGTGTGTGTGTGTGTGTGTGAGAGAGACAACTTTTGCTGGAGCAGGGAGAGATGTAAAGCAGCTTCCATATGCCAACAGCTACTGAAAATTAAATGAAAATCCTGTCGGATTCTGTGGGAGCTTGACCACACTCCTTCATGCTCTTGAATTGTTGTAACTTTTAAGAAAAAGCCCCAAGGCATCAAAAGCTGTTTACTTTATTGGCTGGGAACAGACTCCTCAGCACCTCTGTCTGAACCTCTTTTCATAGAAAATAAAACTATGACAGAGGGCGCCTCTTAAAGCTGTAGTATCACCACACCACCCCCCTTAAAAAACACCATCAACATACAAAGATGGCTTCATTTTTAAAAAGCTTAAAGCTTCACGCTATTAGTACAGTACAATACATATACATTACATTGACTCTAAGCATGCAAACATTCACTACTACAGTCCATTTTAATCTTTTTTTTCCACCACCAAACACCTTCTTCATCTTTCATCACAGTTGCGACAATGCATCGGTAATTATGTTCTCTCATCCTGCCACGTGTGTAATTTTCAAATTGAATAGTTGCAATATTAAGCTGCATCTAAGTAGTCTGGAATTTTTGTCCTTAAATTTTTCCAAAAACTTTCAAGGGTTATGATCAGTATACACAATTGTCTCAGATACATTGCTAGCAATATAAATGTTGAAATGTTGCAATGTCAGCACCAAACTCAGGGTCTCTTTCTCAATGATGGAATATTTCTGTTGATGAATATTCAGTTTTTTGGCAAAATACCCAATAGGTCTTTTTATCCTCTTGTCATTGTCTTGTAAGAGTGCAGGAGGAACGCACAAATCGCTCACATCAATATTGAATGGCTTTGCGTAGTTAGGTGTGGCTAACGCTGGGATAGTGGATAACACAGCTTTCAATTGTCAGATGCCTTCTGACACTCTTCATCCACTGGAATATTTTGAACCGCTTCAACAGGTCAGTCAGTGGAGCAAGCACATTCTTAAAATTTGGTACAAACTTCTGATAAAAACCATTCAGTC